GTTTGTTTGCTTGTTTGTTTTTGCTCAAGCGCTTTTTTCTTTTCTCTCCAGACAGTATCCGTGGCTACTTTGGGGAGACAATTGCCCTTTACTTTGGATTTTTGGAGTATTTCACCTTAGCCTTGATCCCCATGGCCGTTATCGGGTTGCCTTACTACATGTTTGTGTGGGAAGACTATGACAAGTATGTGATCTTCGCCTCCTTCAACCTGATCTGGTCCACGGTGATCCTGGAGGTGTGGAAGCGTGGCTGTGCCAGTATGACCTACCGGTGGGGCACGCTGGTCATGAAGAGGCAGTTTGAGGAGCCCCGGCCAGGCTTTCATGGGGTCCTGGGTGTCAATCCTGTCACCGGCCGGGAGGAACCACTCTATCCCAGCTACAAGAGGCAGATTCGCATTTACCTGGTCTCTCTGCCCTTTGTGTGCCTCTGCCTCTACTTCTCTCTGTACGTCATGATGATTTACTTCGACATGGAGGACTGGGCCATGGGACTGCACGAGAGCAGTGAGTCTGAGTGGACCGGGATCTTACTGTACGTGCCCAGCATCATCTATGCCATTGTGATCGAAATCATGAACCGCCTGTATCGCTACGCAGCAGAGTTTTTAACTTCGTGGGGTGAGGCTTAAAACTTTGTATTCCTATCTTATTGAAGGTGACAGCTAGTACTCAGATCATAGGATTTACATATTCTATTTGTTCTTATAATCTGTTCAGATAATGTTCTTATATCTGCTCAAATAATGCTGCTCTGGACCTGTCATAGAGACTTAAGTACAGGCCATTGGCTCTCAGGACCATCACAATGGTCCCCATATCCTGGTTTTCACCTCCTGACGTGTTATGTGCGTTTTTGTTTTGTTGTGTTTTTTGAGTGCTGGTTACGATGTTCTAAGTGGCCTGCTGTTTCAGCTACAGTGTCTCATTTTCATCTCAGACAGCATGAAATAGAACTTATTTCACCATTTTATAGAACATTGTACTGAGGCATATCAACATTCTGAATTTGATCCTCTTGTGTCATCGCCCATCAGCAAATGGCAGAGCCAGGCTATTCCATTCTCATTTCTATTCAAAACTATGCTCCTAAAACTGTAACTGGAATAGAATAGTTTGAAATGATCTTTGTTACGCTTTGATCGAATGAACTGTTTTGTTATGTGCCATCAAGTGAGAACCAACTCACGGCTGGTCGTAACGTGGCCTTTCAGAGGCTGTAAAATGCAGGGGAGGAGATTGCTTATCTTTCTCCCTCAGAGCAGCTGGTGGATTTGAACTGCTTGTCTGTGGATTGGCTGTGCAACTCCTTACCACTAAGCCGCCAGAGCTCCATAAATGAACTACAGCTGAATGCTTTATGCTTGATTGGCTAGTTGGCATGGGCCACTGCAAATGACTGCTGTGCTCAGTAAAGATTTCATGTATCTGTGGCGGGAGGGAAGAATAGAACTTGACTATTGTCAGTCACTCACATAAACATATATGCCATGTTATTCCTTTGGGAAAAAACCCCTAGGCCTTTACATCATGGACCATAAGAGTGTTTGAAATCAATTTCATCTGTCATGTAACAACAGCTACCATTTATCAAGTGCTTGCTCTGTTGATAGTGAACTAAGGTTTCATATTAGTTCTAGTCCTTTTGATGCCCTTGGGAGGACTGTCAGCTCTGATTTGTAGGCGAGCAGGCTAAGCTTCAGGAAGTTTAGGAACATGCCCAAGACCAGACAGTGTCCAAGTAGCTACACTGGGATTCAGATCTCTACTGGATCATACTTTTCCCCTGCCCTGCAATCCTGACATCTGCACAATGCCTCCTCTTCCTTGATGAGAATGGAAATTTGAGTTTTCCTTTAAGTCTCGTAAGCCATGTGTACAAAAAACTATTTTGCTGTCTGGTCATTAAAGACAACTAGTCAGTTTTTACCATTATCACTTACTGTTGTTGTTGTTAGGTGCCTTTGAGTCTAGTACAACACTCAGTGACTCCATGAACAGAAGATCTGAACCCTGTCCTATCCGGTGCCATCCTCACACTTCCTGACACACCAGGGCCCATTGTGGCAGTTGCCATGTCCGTCCACCTGGTTGAGGGTCTTCCTCTCCTTTGCTGACCCTCCACCCTTCCCAGCATCATGTCCCTCTCTAAGAAATAATACCTCTTAGCAGTATGTCTAAAGTATCTGAGGTGATGCCTCATCCTTCTTTCCTCCAAAGAGCATTCTGGCTGCACATTCTCCAAGATGTATGTTTGTTCTCTTGGCCGTCCATGGGATGTTCAGTGCTCCTCTCCAACACCGTAGCTTAAAGGTGTCGATTCGTTTTCTGTCATCCTTGTACAGCATTTTATCCCTCTAACCTTCCCCCCCCGTGACTGTGCTTGGAAGGAAGCCTGATGGTGCATTTGGTTAAATGCTGGACTGCCAACTGAAAAATCAGCTGTTTGCATCCACCAGATGAGACAGATGAGGCTGGCGATGTCTAGCCTTTCAGAACCTGGGCAGCAATCACCCCTCTGCCCTGCAGGGTCACTGAGGAGACAGAATGTACTTGGTAGCAGCATGTTTGCTTTGATTTAAGTGTATGGGATAATTTTCTAATACTCTGTACATTTTTTCCTGTGCCAGTAATATTTGAAATTTAAGTTCTCACCACAATACTATTGTAGTACCTTGGGAGGGAGGGGAAGCAAACCCACAAAAACGTGCCTTGAACTTGCTTTCTTCCTTTTCTGTTAACACCCTCAATGACTGAGGCTCTGTGCTGGGTACAGTCACATGACCTGATGACCACTTCCCATGATTCTTTGTTATCTCTCCTTTCTAATCTTCTAGAGAATCACAGATTGGAATCTGCCTACCAGAATCATCTAATTCTGAAAGTTCTAGTGGTAAGTATATTTTTAAGCTATGAATCAGTTTTTAATTTTGAAACTAGTATATGCTATTTAATTTTTTGTTATTGAGGTTCAGTGCCATTGAATGGTGTACTTACTACTCACAGTGACTCTATGTTAAACAGATCGGAATAGTTTCCACTGTCCTCAGGCCCCTTGCAACCTTCTGGCCAGGCCATCTTCCTGAGGACCCTCCCCTCCTTCTTTGTATGGTGCTCTTCTCCAGGGACTGCACCCTCCAGATAACATGCCCAAAGGAAGTGAGACAAAGTCTCACCATGTTTGCCTTTAAGGAGCACTCTGGCTGCACTTTCTCCAAGACACATTAATTTATTCTGTTGGCAGTCACTGGTATATTCAATACTCTTTGCCAACACCACTAATCAAAGACATCTATTTATTTGTCAGTCTTCCTTATTTGTTGTCCCACATTTGCATTCATATGAAGCAATTAAATGTAAATACTGTGGTTTGAGCCAGGCATACCTTAGTCTTTAAAGTTATATCCTTGCTCATTAACACTTTAAAGGGGCTCTTGACAGCAGACTTGTCCAATGTAATACAGGATTGATTTCTGGACTTCTGCATCCACGAGCATTAATTGTGGATCTCTGTAAAATGAAATTCTTGACTATTTCAGTCTTTTTTCTGTCTAGCATGATAATATCTATTGGTTCAGTGATGAGGATTTTTGTTGTTGTTGTTGCTTTTAAGATATATAATCCATTTTTGAAAGCTGTAGTCTTTGATCGTCTTCAATTAGTGCTTCAAATCCTCTTTGCTTCCTGAAAGCAGTTTAGTGCTTAGGGATATAAATAAAAAGACTTGCTGCTAATGTAAGATACCTGATAATTATATTTTGTGAACATGGGCAAGGAATGATTAAGAGATATGTCCATACCTACATACACTCGAAAGTTAACAAGTGAAAATGTAGTCAGGATTCAATGGATAAAAATCACTACGAGATTGTTTGGGATCTTTAACTATTTAACAACCCTGCTCATGTCCGTTTGTTTAGTGATAAAAAATTTAAAAAAGGAAGCAATTTTTTCCACTTAAATTTCTGATGCCCACTCTATTGCGGGAATGTTGTGATGAGTGAGGAGAAGGGCATAAAGAGAAGGTATTGTGTAACCTGCCTGCTGTGTGGCTAAAAGCTCACATGGTATGTTTCTTTCCATTATTATTATTATAAATAATTATGCAGTTACCAAGCAGCCCTAAGCATTTCATTTGTCAGGAAGCTACTGTGGCCATCTGGAACACAAGTACGAATCAAGAAATGAACTTTCAGCAGAAATTGATGTAACACATCCATGTACTTTACTCCCAAGAGAGAAAGTGCCAGGTCCTTGCTTAGAAAGTCTTTATCTTCTCTTAGAAATTATTCTGTGCAGCTTATTTGGTTGGTTTTTCAGCCCTTGAGAGATCAGAAACCAGCCCTTTGGAGGGTGTTTAGATTATGAGAAGCAGATCAATATAGAAGCAAGAGCAGGTGGGGAATAGGAAACCTGTAATATGCAGATGATCAAAATTCAACACTTTCAGCAACTGAGACGGGAGACAGCCAGGCACGTGGCCCAAGGCTATCAAAGGCCTCGCTCTTGACACTGAACTAACTGAGATCCAGGATGTCAGTGCGCCATTGGCAAGCAAGATCTCGTTTTGGTTCTCTGTGAAAGTTCATTTAAAAAGATTATAATGTCGAGCTTTTGAGTGTAGCGGGAGGAGAAACCTCCCATTTGTCTTGAAAGTGGTTATTTTTGAGGTTCTGTTCTTCTCTGACAATGCCAGATATAATGTCAAATGACAGCCTTGCAAAATGACGCGTGAGTTAAAGACTGCTTTCTCTCTATTGCGAAGCTGATGTTAGAAATGTCGGGTCTTTTAGTATTTTTCCCTCAGGTTGCTCAGGTTCGGTTGCTCAGATGGGTAAATTCAGTAGTTGCCCCACCCTCAAGTTCACAGACTCTGCTCCTGTCTCTCCCCATTCCGCGCTTGAGCTACTCAACTGCCGGTATCTGTATGTTTTTTAATTTCTGCTTGGTGTTTCTTTATTTCTTTTTAGTTCTTTGCAGAGAGGTTCTATTTTTCCATTTGTTTCAAGAGTGTTCACAATTGATTTTTGAAGCCTTTTTGTGTTGATAGACTTAAAATTCCGGTCAGATAATCCCAATATCTCATTCATGTCAATTTTGGCTGCAGTTAGATTATTGCCCCTGCCCTCTTTTTCTCTTTCAAATTGCAGTTTTCCTCGTTCTTGGTGTGATGATTTTGGGCTGTGTACTGGGCGTTTTGTCTGGCATGCTAGAGGACTCTGGGTCTTACTAGCAGACTCTCACCGTGCTCAGTATGTACATCCACACCTATTTGTGGGCGGTGGTGGTAAATGAGAGTTTAACTTTCAGGACGTTTAAGATTTTTTGGGGGGTGGACGGTTGGTATTCTGCTTGATGCTGTCTGCTTGATGCTGCTGCCTCCAGTGGTCCCTGCCCCAAGCTGACCGCTGACCTGCTGACTACCTCTTGGTAGAAGACAGTCTCTGGCCCACAGTGACCAAGCTGTCTATGCTGTGGCTGCGTCCTCCCTGCTGGTGCTTCTTGGCTGCCGCTGTGCAAGAGAGACCCAGTCATACCAGTTATCCCAGCATGCAACGTCTTTGGTATCTATCTATCAGCAAGAGCGGGAGTCTCCGATTCACTAGCACAGAAGAGCTGCTTGGATCCAGCCCTTTGCGGCGGTGGGCTTGGGCTTGCCCTTGCTGCCCACCTAGCTCCTGGTGGGGGAGGGGAACTACAGCCCATGGGCAGGAAAAGGCTTTCTGGGCTGAGCCACTTGGTTTGCAGGGTCTCCCTTGCTGATCCTTCCTGCTCATTTCTGTATCTTTGGATGAGACAGGGAATTAATTCTGAGGCCCAGCACTGAAGGAGAGCATGACTCCTGGCTTCTTACTGTCGTGGAAGGGAGCTCCAGTTGTGTAGTGTACAGAGAATCATGCTGTGAACCTAAAACCCATGCGTCTCTGCTGGTTCAAAGCTACCAGCAGCTCCACTGGAGAAAGATGGACAATCTCCTGAGTGATGTTTTAGCCTCCAACCCCCGCTGACTCCGTGGCAGCAGGATTTTTGTATTATTATTGACGGACCTCCCAGTGGATTCCCCTTGCTGGTTCTTTGGGCTTGTCTAGAGGTGTTGTGGGGTCTCACATCTGATATAAAGGCAAGGAGTGAGCCTCCATGAACTGCTTGGTTGGGTTTGGGGAAGTGCTGGGCTTCAGTCTTTTGTAGTTGGGGGGCGGGGGGGGGGGACAATAAGATGCCCCAGCGCTGTGTGCCATGTGTCCTGAGGTCCCATATCAATTTGGTTTCTTCCTACCTCCTTTTTGTCTTCCCCTTTAGTTCTTTCTTGTGTTATTTTCAGAATTTATAGTTGCTGTGAAGAGGAGCAGGGAGAAATGTATCCACACCATCTGGAAGTTCCTGATTACATGTTTAAGTGCTATATTTATATTTGTCAGAAAATACTGTAAAGCAGTGTTAAATAATGTTATCCTTTTCTTTTTTTTTCAGTTCAACTTTCTAAATTGCTTTGCCTCACTCTTCTACATTGCCTTTGTCCTGAAGGATATGAAGCTGTTGCGTCAGGTGAGGGCGGATTACAGAAAAATAGCAAGTTTTGGGGTTTTGGAAGTACTTTCCCCCATTCGGGTGATGTATGTAATTGTCCTCATAGTATTTTTCCAAGGAACATATTTGGTATTTTGTGTCCTTTGAGGGTGAGCGGTAAACAAGCAAATAACAGTAACAATCGTGCTGGGTATTTTCACTCAGGTGAGAAGAAATGAGTCCAAACTAGTCAGTTTGCAGCAGTAATCATTTTGGGAAATAAAGTCAATTGCACGATTCTTCCTAAGGCTTGTAAAAGCAAGTCCAGTAGCAAATAGGTATCCATGGATTGAGCCATTTTTGTTTGTATTAATGAGGGTTGTAACCTTAAATACCATTCTAACACCTACAGCTTTTCCAGTATCGGTTTGACTAATGTTGTAAGTGGGGAGCTGGTCTCCCATTTGCTGAAGGTGTCATTTTATTGATTGCAGAACCACGTGAGTGCCATAGTTTTATGAAGTGACACCACTAAATATGCTTTATCTGCTTTTCTTTAGAGCTTGGCCACCCTCCTGATTACCTCACAGATCCTTAACCAAATTGTGGAGTCTCTGCTTCCTTATTGGCTTCAAAAGAAGCACGGTGTGCAGGTGAAGAAGAAGCTGCAGGCTTTAAAGGCAGACATCGACGCGACGCTGTACGAGCAAGTCATCCTGGAAAAAGAAATGGTGACCTATCTGGTAAGTGGGAGTATTGAGTGACGTTGGGTAAATATGGAAGAGTTCACTGACCTTCAGTAACCGCTCTAACAGGTGCATTGTGCACTCATTATCTCGGACATGATTTTTTTCATCAGTGGCCTCCAGCCAGTTTTCTTAGCAGGTGGTTGGTGTGATGCGTCCTCGAGTCAACACAGACCCACAGCTGAGCCTCCAGTGGGTTTTCGGGGAGTTAATCACGCAGGAGATTACTCATCCTTCTCCCTCAGAGCGGCTGGTGGATTGAACCACATGCCTGCAGAGTTGCTTTCTTGAGTCTTTCCTCTATATTTTGACACTTGACTGTATTTTTATAAAAATACTTTGACAACCATTGTGGAAGGCAGTATGGCGCTTTCTCAAAAAGTTGTGTATAGAGATACCATTTGACCCAGCAATTCCACCACTGGGAATATACCCTAAAGGGACCATAACTGACATCCACACAGATATATGCACACCCATGTTTATCGCGGCTTTATTCACAATAGCAAGGAGTTGGAAACAACCTCAGTGCCCATCAACAAACGAATGGATAGAGAAGCTGTGGTATATTCACACAATGGAATACTATGCAGCATTGAAAAACAAGGAACTCATGCAATATTATTCAAAATGGGTGACCCTGGAGGACATTATGCTGAGTGAAGTATCTCAGTCACAAAAGGACAAATACTGCATGGTGCCACTGTTGTAAAACAGGACTGACCTCAGGGTTGGGGAGAGACTGAGAAAGATGGGTTCAATAATGTATACTGCATGGAAACAGATGAGGAAGAGAACTGTTTAAAAGGGATATGTGATTGGGTATTTTTGTCATGGCAGGAGTCTAGAGTGAAGGCTACATGGTGGAGTGGACCTGGGGGAGGGTTTGTAAAACAATGAAGGAATTTTTCTTTTACTTTTACAGGAGGGTAGTGTACTAGAGGGAAGTGTTGGGAGGGGAGAAAAGTGCAACAATGAATAAATGGAAATCCAAAGTCTCTAAATTTTTACTGAAATTAATAATAAATTTTAAAAATATTTTGAATATTATAACTTGCTTGTTTTTCAATGCAGAACTACTAATGATTATATTTTCATGCCAGTAAATTTATTTTTGCACCTTGCTTTCCACATTGTAAACAGAGAACTCGTAAGTGGCAGAGGTAAGAAGGATTGGCCTTTAAGAGGTAAACCAAAACGGTTTATTGGTTACTACCCACAGATTCTACTGAGAAACTTCTGATGGTTCTGTCCAGGTTTTTTTTTTCTTTTTTTTTATTATTATTTTGTGTATGTGTGTCTGTGTACCGTCAGATCAGATCTGACTGGTACAGGAGGAGATTGTCCCTCCTTTCCCGGCAGAGCATCTGGTAGATTCGAACCATGCGTCTCTGGGATTGCAGTGCAGCTTCTTGCCACCAGGCCACCAGAGCTCCCCCTCTGTTCAGGTTTTGAGGTTATTCTCCTGTCAACTCTGGACCTCTGGTGGAGCAGTGGATTAAATGTCATGTTGCTATCTTAAAGATCGGTGGTTCAAATCTTCCAGCTGCCCCATAAGAGAAAGGGGAAGCCGTTGTGTTCTTGTAAAGATTTGCAGCTTTGGAAAGCCAAAGGGGCACTTCTGCTGTATCTTAGAAGGTCTCTGTGAGTTGGGATTGACTTGATGGCAATGGATTTGGGTTGTGCGTCTTTTGTTTAGACTTTATCATCTGTGGACATTACTGATGTGTGGCTGTGGCGGTGGACCTTGGACAACCACAGGGTCTGAGTGTTGGGCAGGATGCCAGTCAGGGTCTCTGTTCCGTCCCTCTGTTGTCTTTGAACGCACCATTTCACCAGCGGGCTATAGCTCCCACATCCTCCCCTGCCAGCCCCATCTCAGCAGCCGTCCCATGTCACACGAAGGAAAGCCCTCGTATCCTCTGCTGTTGCGTCTCGTGCCTCTCCTGCTCCTCACGGCTTCTCAGGATAATTCTCCATATTGTTGTCTTAACTTTCCCACTCCCCTTCTTATGATCATGTAGGATCTGCTCGAAAGATCATCTTTTCCTCTGGAATTCCTTAGGCAAATAATGTCATTCCCTCAAGAGCCCTCAGACCAAATTCATAGTTTTTTTAAGATCTGTCGATGCTCCATTTCTCTCAGCTGAACAAATGGCGCTCAGTAAATCTAACAGTATGGCCTTCCTCCAAGCAAGTTCAATCCATTTAAGAGCTATATGCTAATAAGGTGCCACTGCCTGAATTTTAGATATCACCTGTCATGTGGCCCCTCCTTACATCTGATAACACACATATGAACGAAGGGAAGGCCAGCATTGCTCTCTCATGTTACACATAGGCACCTGAAGCTCAGTGTCATTAACCATTTGGTGAATAAATCAGGAACGAGATTCACGGCTTCACTCTTCCAGTTCGTTCAATTGCACAGCCTCGTCCCTCTGAAGTGAGGTAAAAGCGTGGTAATGTCTCTGACAGTTTGTCGCCTCTCACCTTGCCTGCAGGGCCCTGCTTCATCTGGGTGACTTTGCCTTCCCTTTAGTCTTTCTTCCGGAGCCATGTCGACGGTTGTAATTTGAAGTGTGTTTGAGGGGAGAGGTGCTTTTGGACCATATTTGTTGCAGATGTACTGATCTCTTCCCTCTGTGTTTACTTTTCTACTTTCCACTGCTTCCCAGTGCTGTAGCGTTGAGTCTGACTTAAAGTGACCCTCCATCTGGTTTCTGACGCCATAAATCTTTACTTCAGGACACCACTTGTTTCTCTCCTGGGGAACGGCTGGTGGATTAGAACCACCAACCTCTCATTTATCAGCCCAACATGTTATGCAAATACACCAATAAAGCCAATTCCTTTCTCCTTCCTAGAGTGAATGAACTTTGCAGTTTCTATTATCTTGTCCTAACTCTACCTATCAATCTAAAATAACTTTGCCAGGCTTTGAAGAAAAAGCAATTTGTCTGAAACTTGAAAAAAAAAATTATTATAAAAGTCTTAGCTGCTTACTCATTAAAGACAGTTTGAAAAATGCAGATAAGAGAACATAAGGACAAAGTGATCACTAGAAAGTTCTTTTAAGTGATTTAGAAACTTTCTACCAAGTTACCCCACTCTGGCCACTTGGCTCCTGCTATGCCAACCACAGAGCTGAGGCTGCGCAGTTTCTCAGACCTTCTCTGTCCCCCTCTGCTCTCCTGTGAACTCTGAATTCATATCCATCTACGTGTCTGCATGCAGCTGAATGCTCTTCATGTTGAATATGTGAACCAGAAAAAAAATACTGCACCACATTCAGTGAGCCGTCTTCTGACCCTGTGCACAACAGCCCTAACCCCTGCTCTGTCCCTGGCCAATCTCACTGTCTCTGACACACCTATCCCCATTACCCCAGTGACGGAATAATCCATCTCATCGAGGGTCTTCCTTTCCTGCGCTCTCCCTCCACCCTCTCAAGCATGATGCCCCTCTCCAAGGCCTGGTCCCTCCTTACAACATGTCCAGTGTGTCAGATGGAGCTTCAGAATCCTTGACTCCAAGGAGCAGCCTGGCCTCACCCTCTCCAGTACGAACTTGTTTGTTCTTCTAGCAGTCCATGGTATATTCAATACTCTTCTCCAGCACCAAAGCTCAAAGGCATCAATTCTCCTTTTATCATCCGTAGTCATTGTCCACCTCTCTGAAGCAAGTAATGGCAAAGACCATGGCTTGTATCAGGCACATCTTAGTCTCCAGACTGTTAATTAAGTAAAAAAGACCGGATATCCCACATCTGTCTATTGTATGCTCACTGGATGATCATGAGAAGACATGTCTTCAAAATGGAGTGCTAACTCTGAGTAACCAGTGGCCAGGTTGGTGTCGTAGTTCAGTGAATGGCTGCTTTGTTGTGTTATTAAAAATCAATAATCAACTCATCCTACACTCTCTAGGGATCTCTTCTAGCCTAGTGTTGAGGAGCTGCACTGCCAATCCTAAGGCACATGGTTTGAATCTACCAGCTGTTCCACAGTAGAAAGATGGTCAGTCTCCTCTCATGTACTTTACTGCTTCTGAAAACCTTCTGAAGGGTCGGTTATTCATCTGTTCCAACTTGAAAGTACATAATTAACTACACTCTCTACATCTATTCCTTTTCAAACTGGCATGTATAAGGATCATTTCTCTATTACTCCTTCAGAGTCAAATATTTCTAAACGTATCAGGAAGTTTTCATACAGGCCCTGGTGCTAAGTCAGTCCTCAGCTCTTGACTGAAATTTCAAACACATCAGCTACTCTGTGGGAGAAAAAATAAGGAAAAAATCTCCCCACTGCTCTCCTCTTTTCCAGGTATGATAGCCTTCACCAGGGATGACCCCTCCTGATAACATGTCCAAAGTGAATGAGATGAGGTCTCACTGTCCTTGCTTCTAAGGAGCAAGTTGGCTGCCCTATTCCAAGAAAGATTTGTTTGTTCTATATTCACATCAAGAAAACAATGATTATCACCACTGAGAAACTTGATGGGGCCAATTGGCAACACCATGATAGTTGGAGATTGAGATTGTTAACAATTACAGCTTGCTGTAATTGCTGTAATGTTGACAATCAACATTCTTGGCCCCAGCATTCAAGAAATTAGAAGACAAATTGCACTGGGAAAATCTGCTATCAGGAACCTCTCCAGAGTATTGAGAAGCAACAATGTCGGTCTAGAGACCAAGGTGCACTTGATCCATGGTCTTCACAGTTACTCGCTGTGCATCAGAGAGCTCAACAATGACTAAGAATGACAGACGAAGAATCGATGCCTTTGAATTGTGCTGGAGAAACCAGCACATACCATGGACCAACAAGAAAACAAATAAGTCTGTCTGGGAGAGGGTTTGGAGCCTAGGATTTTGAAGCTCCCTTGCACATACTTTGGGCATGTGGCACAGGAGGGATCACTCGTTGGAGAAGGAAATCCTTCTCAGATGGGTGGAGGGAGAGAACAGGAGACGAAGACTCTGGATGAGATGGGTTGATACCGTAACTGGGGCAATGGGGGTAGGTGTGTCAGAGTCAGGGAGACTGGCTCAGGACAGGGCAGGCTTCAGAGCTGTTGTACATAGTATTGCTATCAGTCACAGGGGACCCAACAACACATAACAAGAACAACATATCCACACTGCTCTTGGGAATGTAAATGGTGCACCTATTACGGGGAGCACTTTCATACTTTTTAAAAAAGTAGAAATAGAAATACCCTTAAGTGGAAACTATTGCCTACTGGGTTGGAAGATGTGTATAGTAATATGATTCTCATACCCAGGAAATGTAAATTGAAATATTTGATCATTTTGAATAGTTTTCAGACTTAGAACATAAATATTCCTTTTATATTTATCTATATTTTATAAAATACTCTTTAATGTTACATTTCTACATATAGTTTAAGAATTTTATTTCCAACAGTTTTTTTGTAAAGTATCCTCCTATTTTAAATCTTAAAACATGCTAAATATTCTTCCCCAATTATTTTATCAATTATATTGCCTATTTTTTATAGCTGCAATAAAATAATTGGTTTTATGACTAAAAAAAGAAATACCCTTAGATACAGAAATTCCAACATCAGTTATACCCTAAATAAGTAAGAGCTGCAACACAAACAGATGTAAATAACAGCCTTGTTCCTTGCAGCATTATTTACAATAGCAAAAAGATAAAAACAACCCAACTGTTTATCATTGGACAAATGGTCAAAGAAACTGTGATACAATCACACAATGGAGTAGCATGCAACACTGATAAAAAGAAATAATAAACACTGTATCACAGGGGTGCCTCTATGGAACATTGTTGTGGTATGTGCCATTTAGTTGCCTGCAACTCATAGCTACCCAATGTGTAATAGCTCTGAACCCTGTCCTATCCTGAGCCAATTGCATTGTCCCTGACACAAATGTCCTTATTGTCCCAATCACTGTGTCAATCCATCTCATCCAGGATCTTGCTCTCCTGCACTGTCCCTCTACTTTTCCAAGTATAATTACCTTCTCCAAGATCTGGTCCCTCCTGGCCACATGCCCACGGTACGTGAGACAGAGCTTCAAAATCCTTGCCTCCAAAGAGCAATTTGGTTTCACCCTCTCCGGGATAGAGCTATTTATTCTCTTGGCGATCCATGATATGTTCAGCACTCTTCTCCAGCACCACAACTCAAAGGCTTCAATTAGTCTTCTGTCATGCTTATTCACTGTCCAGCTCTCTGGTGCACAGCAAATAATTGTGAAGACCATGGCCCAGTTCAGGTGCACTTTAGTCTCTAGACTGACATCTTCGTACTTTAGCACTCTGGAGAGGTCCCTGATAGCAGAATTTCTTAATCCAATTCGTGTTTTAATTCCACTGTCAAGTTAGTCACAAAAGAAAAATTCTTGTACAAGGTCACTCTTACAAAAAGCTAAAAGATACAAAATGAAAATAAACTGTTATAAAAATTAAAGCATTAAAAAAAAACCAACAAAAACACCACCACCTTGGAAATGTACAGTTTCCAAAATTATGATTTTGTATAATGACAGGAGTGATTGAATATTTTTTATTCTTGATGTCAGTGACTGAATTAAACATGTGTGTTTTGAGTATATTCTTTGTAGCTTTTTTAAAAAATAAGAATTTGGAGAAACTTTGTGATATTTGTTCAGCTGTTAGAAACCAATGTCAGTATTTCAAAAGGTTATTCCTCTCATGTGATACTAAAGCAATGCCTGTTTTCTTCTTGGGGTTTACTTTTACAGGGTACGTTTGATGATTATTTGGAATTATTCCTCCAGTTTGGTTACGTGAGCCTTTTCTCCTGCGTCTACCCTCTTGCAGCTGCCTTCGCAGTGCTGAACAACTTCACCGAGGTCAACTCGGACGCCTTAAAAATGTGCAGAGTCTTCAAACGGCCATTTTCAGAGCCCTCCGCCAGTATTGGTGTATGGCAGGTAATTATGTGACAATTGAATTATTCTTTGGGTTTTTTTTGTGTGTTTTTGTTCGGGTTTTTTTTTGTGTGTGTGTGTTTTTTAAATGACAAAGTGAGACACTGTGATTTAATTACTAAAGGAGGAGATGTCTTGCTGACTGATTTGAGAAAACTGGTTTTCAGTCCTTCCTTTGTCTCAGACCAGCTGTGTGACCTCAGCTAATTTCCTCTGTGCCTTGCTAATTTCTCTGAGTTTCACTCCCTCAACCCCCATTTTTAAAATGTCCCATGAGTGTGAAATTATCGAGATCACTTTCAAACATGAAAATCCAGCTCTGGACCGACATCATCAACAGACAGAGTCACACCAGAACAGGCCCAGTGCCCTGGCTTCTCCTCTGACTTCCAACACCACTGTCGGACAGACTAAAACGGCCTTCTGGAGTTTCCACATGAAAATGGCCGTGTAGGATTTTGAAGACTGTCAAAGTAACCAGATGTTAGCCATAAGAAAACCTTTACAAAATCTACGGAGTATAAATAGTGTATGGGGCTCTGGTGGCCTAGTGAGCAAGGAGTTGTACTGCCAACTCAGAGGCAGGAGGTTTGAATCTACCAGCTGCTCTGTAGGAAAAGGATGGGCATTCTCCTCCCGTGCCACTTACAGTCTCTGAAAACCTGCTGAGAGTCAGCTGTGAGTGGGTTCTGACTCAGCGGCATATAACAACAACATAAATAGTACAGACTAGGTTTCCTCATCAGTACAACTTGAAGTTAATAACAGAGAAGAAACAAAAAGTTCCTATCATTATTTGTTTTTGCTATTTTTATGATATATAAAAATGATAGCTTTTGGCGAGCTCTGGTGGCCTAGTGGCAAGAAGCTGCACTGCAATCCTAGAAGTACGCGGTTTGAATCCACCAGATGCTCTGCTGGAGAAGGAGGAAAAATCTCCTCCTGTACCAGTCAGATCTGATTTGACGGTACACACACACAAAATAATAAAAATAAAATTTAAAAAAATGGTAGCTTTCCTATAGTTTACCATGGACTGCTAAGAAAACAAATAGGTCTGTCTTAGCGAGGGTGAAAGCAAGTTTCTCCTTGGAGGCCAGGATTCTGAAGCTCCATTGTACATACTTTGGGCAAGTGGCCAGGGAAAGGCTCCTATCACTATCATTTTTATATATCATAAAAATATATAAACTTATGTTAAAGGAGCACTTGTTTAAGAGGTTAAAAAATTGAAATGTCAGTATTTCTAAAAATCAATGGTACTGAAATACTACTTCACAGAAGTTATGAGATGAGGCTAGTGTGGTTTTCAGAGGAGAACTTGAATCCTTAAAATGCTGATATGCACACCCATAAAAGTCTTAAACGAGGCATTTAAATCAAAGCGCTAAAAGAAAAGGAAAGCAAATCTTAGATCTTATTTTTAAAAGGCCTCAAAATATATTATGAACTTAGATGTGAAAAAGTAACACTATTTAGGTGGTGGGTGGGGGAGAGAAAAACCTTCCAGATTTAGAGAGGGGCAGAGTTTTCCGTTTCTAGACCAAAAGCAGATTTATAAAAGAAAAAAAAAAAGAAACCTCAAACCAATAAATTGGACCTCATGAAAGTGAAAAAATACTGTTCTATCAGTGTTCATCACAAAAATGAAAAATCAGAATTTTTAATCCTGACTGGCAAGAAATGTGCACAAAACATATACTTCACAAATGATTTCTAGATAGAATACAAAGATCTCTCAAAAACCAACAGTTAAAAAAAAAAAGAAAAAGCATTTAGAAATAATAAAATGTAAAAGATACAAGCAGGCGTCTCCAGGAAGAGGACGTGTAGGTGACACATGAACACGTGAAAAGCTGTTCCACATCATTAGCCGTCAGGGAACTAGAGACGAAAACCACAGTGAGATAATGCCGCACAATCTGTCATAACGGCTGAGATAAGAAGTGACAGCCCCAAAGCTGACAAGACGGCAGAGGGGCGGGATGGCTCATCCTGCTCTGGTCGCAGTGCAATCTGATTCAGCCGCTCCAGAACACAGTCTCACAGTCCCTTATAAAATGAAACTGTGCTCTGAGACGGGAAAAGTTAGAGTCATTCAGTAACTTGAACATTAGTGTCAATGATAACTTCATCTGTGATGGCCAAATCCTAGAACCAGCTCAGATGGCCTTCAGTGAGTGACGGGTTACAAAATCCATGGTATCTGCACACTCAACAAACACAACTCGAGGCTCATAAATGCTGCTCCTAGAAGGTAATAAATAAGCCTCTGATACGCCGACAATTTACATGAGTCACTGGAGAATTGTATTGCATGAAAAAGAAAAAAGCTAATTCCAAAAAGTTACCCACTGTATGATTTTATTTAGATAACAGTCTTGAAAACTGTAGAAATAGAAATCATAGTAGTGATTACCTGGGCTTAGGGAGCCCACGTGGAGGGCAGTGGGGCGTATTATGCACAGAGAGCAGGAAGGGACTTTGAGGTGATGGAACTGTTCAGCGTCTTGACTGTCGTGGTGGAGACAGAGAAACTGGTATAAAATTTAAATGTACACACGGAAATGACTACAAGTCAAAGATCAGTGGATTCTCTCATTGTCAACATCCTTTTCTGGGTCTGTGTTATGAACAAAAGGATGTTGAGTAGACTCTCATTTCCTGGCAGTTCTGTGTGTGAGGAGAACGGTACTCTAGAGCATGTTCAGTGGCTAATTTTTTTTGAGTCTTAAAAAAACCTCCTTATGTCCAATAGATGGGAACCTTCCCGGTCCTCCTCTGTCCTCACAGTCTCCACTCTGCGGGAACCCATCAGAGGAGTCACTGTCTTATTGACGGCTTCCTTTCATTCACTGACTCTTCCATCTTCTCCATTATTTCCTTGTCCACGGACAGGCCCCTCCTGACACCGTGCCCTGAGTGTGCTAGATGAGGTTTTACTCTCCCTGCTTCAAAGACTTTATGAAATCTTAGAGAGGTACGTTGCTGTTGTTGTTGTGTACCTACCATTGAGTGGAACTGTAGTTGCCCCGCTGGTGGGATTTCAGAGACAATTAATTCCACGGGAGGAGATTGCCCATTTTTCTCCCATGGAGCCACGGCTGGATGTGAACCTCATGCCTTTGGGATTTCAGTGCACCTTCTTGACATGAGGCCACCAGAGCTCCCCAAAAGAGGTATATACTTAAGCAATTTAAAATGAAAGATTTTTTTTCACATATTGTTCTATTAAATGATGATAAGCATTGATTGAAATCAGAAATAAACACGACTGAAAATTCTAGATGGTCTGATGCAGGAGGAGGTCTAAAGAGGGGAGGGTGTGTCACCACGAGTTCCTGCCCTGGGCGACACAAAGCCTGATGATACCACAGAGTGATGGTTCCCTGTCACAAAGACACCTGCAGTGTCACAAGAGAAAGTGGACAGTTTCACAAAGAAAACACCACTTGAAATCTTACCTCTCTGGTTTTGAATGATAAATATTTTCTTTGGTAGTCAGATTTAGAGACCCTTGAGATGTGAATAAAAGTGACCCTAAAGGTACATTCTTCCAGGATGGTATTTCAAATTCGAGTCCCAATCCATTGTGAAATGGGCAAGTTGAAGGCACTGCTTTGGGATATTCAACCCAAAATGATCTCAAATACATTGTATCAGGATGATTCTTTAAGCTAAAGAAAAGCATACTATGTCAGAGGAAAAAAAATATTTTAAAAAGTATTTGGACTATTTAGAACTAGGGTAAGACTTTCTTTGCTGTCCTTGTTGGATTTCAGGGCATAAGGAACCAGGGAAAAGGAAACATGGATTGGTCATTGCCTTTTGCTTACTTGGACGTCTTTTTTCCCTGTCTTTCCTCCTAGTTGGCTTTTGAAACAATGAGTGTCATATCTGTGGTCACCAACTGTGCCCTGATTGGAATGTCACCGCAAGTGAACGCAGTCTTTCCAGAGTCAAAAGTGGACCTGATTTTGATCGTAGTAGCAGTAGAGGTAAGTGAACATGTCAACGATTTGAAATCATCTCCACGTCAGGTACATCTTGCTCTGAAGCGGCGGCGCCCCTACCGGCTGATGCCTGCAGATCTAGCAGCTTGCATTTATGCAAGAGTTCAAAGCAATTTAGACAAAAGGGTTGAGGCTGTCTCTTTCCAGGTATTGCACAGGTAAGAAAAGCAATTACCTTGATGTAAACAAAAATGTGATTATTCAGACATCGAGCAAGTCTATCCATGCTAAATCCCATTTGAAACAATACTATAGATTTAATGTATTTTTAATCTGTTTAAGGAAATGCCTCTTCTGTCTTCTCAAGCAAATAAACACTAAGCAGTAATACCGTTTGATAATTACTTGTTAAAGTCTCATTTGCTACAGGGATGGAACGCATTATGAAACACTCTTAACATTACAAAAAGTAATAGGTAGGAAGCCGTACTGTCACATAAAAAGCATAGTCCATGTTGTGTGTTTCTGTTTTAATTCTGTTGATCATGTTTCTGGATGTGAATGATTATAACATCTGAAGAATTAAGCACTGACCGTTGGAAGAAAGAACTTGCAGAAATACTTTGTTGCTCATGGTTTTAATGCCTATGAATAGGGTAAACTATAATTTTGAGATATTTTATAAATATAGTAGTTGAAGTGGAAATTTAGTGAAGTAGAACTTAGCAGGATGGATGTCCTGGACGGATGGAGTGGTGATTGGTATTTGCAGGACTTAGGGTTCATCAGGAAAGAAAAAGATTTGAAATAATGACATGCAATTCCCGTGTTGGCTCATGTAATCAATTTTATTTTGCACCCTTTTTGGCCATATGATATGTGTAGAATGTATGTTTTGGAGAATGGTTTTAGTGTATAATTTTTCTTCCTTGTTATATACCATCAAGTCAGACTGGCAAAGGAGGGGATTGCCCCTCCTTCTCCAGCAGGGCATCTGGTGGGTTTGAACCGGAGATTGGTTTTAGAAGGGGGTGACTAGGAGGGGAAAGAGAATGGCCCTCCCAGATAAAGGTAGATATGTTCTGGATTTTGTGGGCTGAACAGGATTTCAGAGAGCTCTTTGATCTTATTTCACCTTATTACCAGTGTAAGTACCTTGGCTAGAGAGAAGCTGACCAGATCAGGCTCCACATGAAGTTTCTTAATTTGGGTCTGGTCATTAAACTTTGCACATCTTGTTTTTGCCAGCACATTCAGAGTTAATTAAGATTTTGTGACTGACTTGAGTTTTAAAATAATGAGACTCATACGAGACTGAACAGAATGCCAGTAGGTTAATATACAATAAGGCCTTGGCGGTCTGCAAAAGGTGATAGGCAGAAGATGTCTTGGTACATTTAGAACCGGAGCAAGGGGGCTTTAATTGGCTTCAGAGACATGCAGAAGTGGGAAAACCAGGTTTGTGGTGGGAGTTGGAAGTTCACGCTAGACTTCCAGGGTTACCGCATAGCTTGGGGTGGAGGGGAGCGTGCAGGAATGAGTGGATGGCAGTAAATGAGTGAGTGAGTGACAGTCTTTTCATTTCACTTAGCAGGAAGAATGGCAAATCTCTCCAGAAGTAGAAGTCTTCACTTTCTTGTTTGTGACCTTTTCTTTTTAGATGTAAATTTCCCATGTAAGACCTTTGCATGTAAGAAGTCTTCTCTTTGGGCCTGATTAAGCTCACCTGTATTCTTTAAGGCTTAGATCACATAGTGGTTAAGTCAAGGGCCTTTCTGATCTCAATTAAGCCTCTGCTGTTAGTTCCTCATTAAGCCTAGTACTGATGTACACCCTACTGTAGAAGACAAGCACTGACTTGTAGGCTTATAAACGAAACATCTGGATTGTTGGCTTTGTGAGGATAGAAACGCGGTTACTTTTCTTTTTAGTAAACGAAACTTCCCTGGAAGAGTGGTGATGCATTTCAGTGTTTGGGTGAATACTGAGTTAAAAATTAGGCTCATTAGAAAAGGAAATAGGAATTTCACTATTTTTATTAAAGAAGGAAAAGTGGATGAGAGTCACCATTTGATTATTTATATGCACAGTAGTTGGAAGCAGGAGTGGCATCCTCTAAACAACATGTCCTCGGAAACTATGAACTTTGATACATGTCGATAATTGTAGAGGAGCTTCAGGCCTTTTGTTTGTAGGGTTGCTGTGAGTCATGCTCAACTCAAAGGCAGTAAACAACAACAACAACAACAATAATGTGACGATGTTTGTTGATTTAGGTAATTTTGTGGTTCTTCTTGTGGAGTGTAAAGTTGATGGGGCCCATCTGTTTCCTACCTTACCTGAATCAAAGTCGGTTCCGAGAGCAGCTGTCTGTATGCTTGGCTGCTTTGGGGGTATAGTCGGTAGTAAGTTTTGCTGGTAAACCTAAGTCCGTGCAGCTCTGTCTATCAAAATACAAAGTCACCTTTTTATTCAAGAAGAGAAGGAATCTCTTCTTGATGTAGTTGAGATGGATATGCATATTACACACACACACACACACACACACACACATCATGAAATAGTGATTCTTGCGCACACTGTATGTCAGGATTGGAGAAGGAGACGGTCATGATTGTATAGTTGTGAGTTTCACCCAAAACCCAGCAGACTGTTGGCTGCCTCCATCTTCTTCCTTTGGTAACACTCACCTCCCTCACCACCCCCGTAATATGTTTTGGGAAAGGCGGGGTATGGCTTTCTTCTGATCTCCCGGAGAAATTTCAAAGGGCTTTTTCTTCCAGGCTGGTGGAGGCTTCCCAGCGATTTCTGTCCTCATTGTGATCTACTCCTGGGACATAAATTAGAGGTTCTCAGGCACCCTGAGGGTAACAGACAAAACCACAGAGGTTAGCGGACTCAGACTCAGTAGGAGAAAGCTGTTTTTCAGGCTACTGCAAATTCACCCAAAAAGCCAATGCACCAGCAAGATTTCATGGCTGTTTTGGGTGCTAACAAGTCAGTTTTGAACTGATGCACCCAGAGTAGAACTTCTACATAGAGTCTTCTGGATTGTAATGTTAAAAGGGTTAAATCAGGCTACTCCTTGGAGGCAAAGATTCTGGGGCTTCGTCTGACATACTTTGGACATGTTGTAAGGAGAGGCAGGTCTTTGGAGAGGGACATCATGCTGGGCAGAGTGGAGGGACAGCGCAGGAGGGGAAGACCCTCTATGAGGTGGATTGATTCAGTGACTGGGGTAATCAGGATGGGAGTGTCAGAGGCAATGAGATTGGCACAGGATAGAGCAGGGTTTAGGGCTGTTGTACATAGGGTCGCTATGAGTCGCAAACGACTCGACGGCACATAACAACAACAACAACAACAATGTTAAAAGCATTTTTATTTCTTTTATTGTTGTGGTAGAGAGTATATAATGGAAAACATCACACCAGTAAAAGAGGTTTCTGCTGTACAGATTAGTAACATTGCTACGTTCCAGTTGTATAACCACTCTCAACCTCCTTTTCTGAATTGTTTCTCCCCTGTTCCCTTAACTCAGTGGCCCCTAAGGCTCCCGTCTAAGCCGATAGCTGTTGTCAGTTCGTCCTATATAAATTATAAAGGCCGGCAAAGCAGAAGGCTAATCTTTTAAACTAGCGAAGCTGAGCTCTTGTTTGGCTGTCAGAAGACTTCATGGCGTATTTTTGGTTTCAGATTGGCTGGAAGTTTTACAGAAGCAAAGTTTTAGGCTATTTCAACCCCTGCTAAATGTGTACCTCTAAAAACAAGCACACCCTTTGATTATCTGGGATTACTATTTTTAAGAAAAGAGTCATTATTTTGGTATTTGTTTTAATGTGCTTTTAATTTTTTTAAATGTATTGTTGCTATATTATATATGATATATAAACTATGGTCCAGAAGTTGGACTATATCGTCAAAGCTGGGTGTCAAAATAAATCCTCTCTTTCTTCTGTGGTATATTTGAATATTTATTCAATTTTACTTTTTTTACTTCAGTACATTTGTGAGGACCCTCGCTTTGGTTTCTAAATTGAGCATTCTATGTGTCAGAACAAAATCAAGCTCAGAAGAAGTGTTAGAAGTAACCAAAAAATTAGTAAGTTAACTAATTTTATTCTACTGTTGCGGAGACCTTAGCCGAATGCCATCTGGTCTTGTAATGAATCCAAAAAAGTGGAAAGTTTACAAATAAATTAGAAAACACAAGTTTCTGGTTTAGTTCTATAGAAGTTTATAAAATCATACTGAAATTCCATTTTAGAATGTTAAAGAAGATGCAGTAAAACCTCCAGGGCATCAAATTAACATGTTTCTATTTATAAGATTTTTCTACTTGAATGGCAAGTGTATTTTGAGATTAAAAAAAAAAAGGCATTTCTGCTGAGTCAGAACCGGCCTACAGCTGACCCCCCTAGAGAATTTTCAGAGGCTGTAAACTACATGGGAAGAGATTGTCCATCTTTCTTCCAAGGAACAGCTGGTGGATTCGAACTAACCTGCCTTTGGGTTTGGCAGTGCAACCCCTTACTTACAAGGCCACTAGAGCTTCCTTTTCAGATAGTGAAGTAAAAAAATGTTAAAATTAATTTCAGAATGTAATGACATTTTATCCTCAATTTTTCCTGTAATCTTGATAAGGCATCACTTGCCCAGGACAGGCTGTGCTGCAGTCCCACAGGCCTGTGGTTTGAATCTACCAGATGCTCCACAGGAGAAGGTGGTCAGTCTCCTCCCAGGTAATTAACGGCCTCATAAAAGCTGCTGGAAGGTCAATAGTCAGCACACAACAACAACAACTATAAACAATGTATTAGTGTAGGGAGCTCTGGTGGCCTAATGGTAAGAAGCTGCACTGCAATCTCAAAGGCATGTGGTTTGAGTCCACAGGCAGCTTGGAGGGAGAAGCATTAGCAGTCCCCTTCTATGTGATTTGTTGTTGTTAAGAGCCGCTGAGTCGTAGGTGACTCATAGCAACCCTGTGAACGAAACTGCCTTTAAAAACCCTAGAGGGTCAGCTGTGTGTTAGTTCTAACTCAACA